CCAGGCCCCCCAGGTCGGGTGGGTGGCAGTGGCCACGCATCACAGTCACCCGTCGGCCCTGGGTGATGGCGCGGCTGCGGCAGCCCATGCGGGCCTGGTCTCGGCAGGTCCAATACACCTTCTCCCCGGCTGCCTTCTCCCGCCGGTAGAGGAAGGACTCATACACGAGGAAGCTGCCCCCCAGGGGCGTCTTCAGGAACTCAGGGCCTCCTGGGGAGGTTCGGGAGGCAGTTAAGAGAGGAGGCAGGGGCTGGGCAGGCCTGATCCCACTCCCTTCCCTCCCTGGGCCTCTGATGGCCAAAGAGTCAAGGCGGGGCCAGCGAGCCCCAGAGGAAGGCGGCTCACCAGGGTCTGCATCCACGTCCTGGTCCTCATCCGGGGATCCTTCTGGGGCTTGCGGCTGGGTTGGCAGCTCCTGGTCTTCGACCTTCGCTCGCTTTCTGGGCCGGGGCGTGGTGAGAGTCAGGGGACCAGGACCGCTGTGGTAGAGCAGACTATCCACACCTCGGAGCAGCGTGTCCACTTGGCTCCCAGGGCCGTCCTGCCCAGCCTGCAGTGTCTCCGTGGCCTTCTCCTGCTGCCGCCGGGCTTCCAGGCCCTCCATATCGGGAGGGTGGCAGTGGCCACGCATCACGGTCACCCGCTGTCCCTGGGTGATGGCCCGGCTCCGGCAGCTGTGCAGTGCGTGGTCCCGGCAGGTCCAATACACCTTGTCCGCGACAGCCTTCTCCCGCTTGTAGAGGAACGACTCATGTACCAGGAAGCTGCCCCCGTAGCACGTCCTCAGGAACTCGAGGGGCTGGGCCTGTCCTGGAGAAGGGACCCAAGTGGTCACAACCACCAGGGGTGGGGAGAAGCCCAGGAGTGGCAGCCACTGCAGACTCTGGGGGCTGACATGGGCCTTTCTCCTTTAAGGCTGAAATTTACCCTGGCTTCCTGAGCCAGATATGCCAGAGCCCCCAAGCCCATTCCCATGGAACCCCTACACCAAGCAACCCGGAGGGGAGTCTCATTCCTCTCCTAGCAGCCAGGGAGGCCGCCCCAGCTCAGGCCTGTTAAATGTTGCATCAAGATCACACCTGGAGGGGCCAACCTGGACTCGGACTCAGTGGTCTCTGCTGTCTGTCACTCCTGCTCATGCATTTTTTTTTAGGGTTTGTTTAAATAATCTACCCATTTTTGAATAAAACACACAAGTTATAATACACTCAAATGGTTCCAAAAGATCACAGTGAAAAATAAGTCTCCCTGTTCCCTGCCCTTCCCTTCCCGCCCCAGGTGCCCAGGGCAGGGGCCACCTCAGATCCTTAAAGCTGTGTCAGGAGGCACCTGGCCTCCTTGAACCCAAGCCCATCTCCTAGTTACTGGTAATAAAACAGCCAGAACTCCCATTTGCAACTTGCTAAGCCCCAAATGTGTAATTTACACAGCAATCTAGGTTATCACAGCCAGCTTAAGATAAAACTCCTGAAACTCCAGAAATGAGGTCAATTTTCTAAGGCCACAGAGCTACCATCAGGTGGGGCTGGAATTTGAACCTATGACCCAAAACCCAAGACTCTCCCACCAGACTTTTTTTTTTTTTTTGAGACAGAGTCTCGCCCCACCACCTAGGCTGGAGTACAATGGCGTGACCTTGCCTCACTGTAACCTCTGCCTCCCGGGTTCAAGCGATTCGTCTGCCTTGGCCTCCCGACTACCTGGGATTACAGGCGGCCGCCACCATGCCCAGTTAATTTCTTTTTTTCTTTTTTTTTGAGATGGAGTCTCACTCTGTCCCCCAGGCTGGAGTGCAGTGGCACGATCTCGGCTGACTGCAAGCTCTGCCTCCCAGGTTCATGCCATTCTCCTGTCTCAGCCTCCCGAGTAGCTGGGACTACAGGTGCCCACCACCACGCCCGGCTGATTTTCTAATTTTTTATTTTTTAGTAGGGACGGGGTTTCACCGTGTTAGCCAGGATGGTCTCAATCTCCTGACCTCGTGATATGCCCACCTCAGCCTCCTAAAGTGCTGGGATTATAGGCGTGAGCCACTGCGCCCAGCCTCGCCCAGCTAATTTTTTGTATGTTTAGTAGAGACGCGGTTTCAATATGTTGGCCAGGCTGGTCTTGATCTCTTGACCTCATGATTCATCCGCCTCAGCCTCCCAAAGTGCTGGGATTAGAGGCGTGAGCCACTGCACCCAGCCTAGGTGTTTTTCCTGAACTTAATGGACACCAGAATCGCCCGAGAACCAGATAACATTCTGATTTGTTTTTGAGACAGGGTCTCACTCTCTTGTCCAGGCTGGAGGACAGTGGTGTGATTCTGGCTCACTGCAGCCTCAATCTCCCTGGCTTAAGTGATCCTCCCACCTCAGTCTCACAAGTGGCTGGGACCACAGGCGCACTACGACAGCTGGCTGATTTTTTGTACATATGGGGTCTCACTGTATTGGCCAGGCTGGTCTTGAACTCCTGGGCTCAAGCGATCCTCCTGCCCCCAGCCTCCCAAAGTGCTAGGATTATAGGCATGACCACTGTGCCCAGCCCACATTTACATATATCTATTTTTTCTTTTTTTATCTGAGACAGAGTCTTGCTCTGTCGCCCAGTCTGGAGTGCAGTGGCACAATCTTGGCTCACTGCAACCTCTGCCTCCCGGGTCCAACCGATTCTCTTGCCTCAGCATCCCGAATAGCTGGGATTACAGGCATCTGCCACCACGCCTGGCTAATTTTTTATTTTTAGTAGAGGTGGTCATGTTGGACCATGTTGGTCAGCCTGGTCTCGAATTCCTGAGCTCAGATGATCCACCTGCCTGGGCCTCCCAAAGTGCTGAGATTACAGGCGTGAGCCACTGCGCCCAGTCACATTTTTATATACATACTTTTTTTTTTTTTTTTTTTAAGGATGAAGTCTCGCTCTGTCACCCAGGCTGGAATGCAGTGGAGCGATCTGGGCTCACCGCAACCTCTGCCTCCTGGGTTCAAGTAAGTCTCCTGCCTCAGCCTCCTGAGTAGCTGGGATTACAGGCATCCACCACCACACCCCGCTAAGTTTTGTATTTTTAGTAGAGACGGGGTTTCACCATGTTGATCAGGCTGGTCTCGAACTCCTGACCTCATGATCCGTCCGCCTTGGCCTCCCAAAGTGCTGGGATTACAGGCATGAGCCACTGCGCCCGGCCACATTTATATTTTTAAAAGTCATTTTAGCTTCGAGTACATTTTAAAAGACCCCGTGGGACCCCACATTTCTATTTGGGCTCAGGAAGGGCCCTTGGGTCCCCTGCCCCAAGTGGACATGGCAGGGGGGTGGACTGTACTCACCCAGCCCCAGGATCGAACGCTTCTTGGGCGGCAGGCTCAGCAGTGACAGGGCTCGGGGTCCCTCATCCTCCTCCGGGGCTGGCTTGCTCAGCACCAGCCCAGGAGTGGGCTCTGGCTCTGGCTCTGGCTCCTCAAGGCACTGCCAAGGGCCCACCCCCTCCAGTGGCTCCTCCACTGGGCCTCCAGGGCCCTCAGGACCCTGGGGCTCTCCCAAGCCCTCTGGCAGGGCCAGGCTGGGCAGCTTCTCTCTCTGGCGCCGGGCCTCCAGGCCTTGCTCATCGGGCACATGGCAGTGGCCCCGCATCACTGTGGCCCGCAGGCCTCGGGTGATGGCCCGGCCCCGGCAGCCCAGCTCAGCATGCTGGCGGCACTTCCAGTACACCTTGTCCCCCACAGCCTTCTCCTGCTTGTACAGGAAGGACTCCAGCACCAGGAGGCGGCCCCCGAATGGTGTCCTCAGGAACTCCAGGGACTGAGGGGCTGCTGGGGGAAGGGGAGGGCTGGGTTAGCTAACCTAAAGCCAAGCTCCAGGTCGCAGGCACAGAGGAGAGCCAGGGAGGACGTGGGGGTTCTGAGTGTGGCAGGTGCCTTCTCCTGCTCCCAAGCAAGAAGCCCAGACTCTCAGGGCTGGTTTTTATTTTGGGGGTGGTAGTGGATGTTTTTAGGGAGCTGAAGGAATTCTGCACATCACTGCAACTCCCATGAGCTCCAGGAGGCCCTGGTACCTGAGTGTGATCTTCACACCAGCCTGGGACAGGCTCAGGATCAGAGACCAGGAGGCTCAGCTGGGAACAAGGACAAGACACTGTGCTAGAAGTGGGGTGTGCAGGGCCTGCTGTGAGCACTGGAACCCACAGGGTGGCTGGGCAGGGGCAGCAGGCCACACCTCACCTGTGTCCAGCTTGCTGCACTTCTGTTCAGGCATCTGCAGGGCTGACTGGACCACCCTTCCCTGCTCCTCGACTGGCAGGATCTGCAAGGTGCTGGCGAGGGTGGCAGGGCCAGCCATCTCCAGGGAAAGGACGCAGTGCACTTCCTGGGGCTTGGAGCCCACCCCATCCTCATCTTGGTTGGAGGCTGTGAGCAGGACCAGTTTGGAGAACTTCCTGGGCTTCCTGGGGGCTGCCGGGACGACGTCCGTGGCTGGCTCGGGGGATGGCTCCTGGCCAGCCTTCACGCTCTCGCCCTCCTGCTCGCTGGGCTCGGGCAGGGGCATCCCTGGACCCAGGGCCTGTCCCTCAGGCCACGCTCAGCCCCCAGCAGGTGGATTTCTCCTACTCCCAGGCAAGCAACCTGGAGTTCAGCGGTTCCGTCCTAAGGAAGGAAGCAAAATCCCGTCAGTGGAGGAAGCCCTTGGGGGGCTCTAGACGCGGCTCTGGGAGGGAGGTGGGCAGATGGGGCTGCCTCACTGCTCGCTAGAGCCAAGGCTGGCGGGGGCCCTGATGGAACTAGGCTTCTGTTCTGCCAGTTCCTCTCCTGGCAGCCTTGGATATGTCACCCCCATCTAACCCCATCTGGAAAATGTGCACAGTAAACACTCTCCACAAGGGGCCATCAGAGTGACTAATGGACTAAGAGCCCAGCCACTACCGAAGGGCCTCCCACGTTCTGAGCATAGAAGAAGGGTTTCCACCTGCATTTCCAGTACCCCCTCCAGCCCCTACATTATGACGGCAGGACATTTTTTTTTTTTTGAAACGGAGTCTCTCTCTGTCGCCCAGGCTGGAGTGCAGTGGCTGGATCTCGGCTCACTGCAAGCTCCACCTCCTGGGTTCACTCCATTCTCCTGCCTCAGCCTCCCAAGTAGCTGGGACTACAGGCGCCCGCCACCTTGCCCGGCTAATTTTTTTTGTATTTTTAGTAGAGACGGGGTTTTACCGCATTAGCCAGCATGGTCTCGATCTCCTGACCTCGTGATCTGCCCACCTCAACCTCCCAAAGTGCTGGGATTACAGGCTTGAGCCACCGCACCCGGCCCAGGACATTCTTACTGACCCAGTTATAGATGAGGACAGTGAGGCACAGACAACTGTGGGAGGCGGAAACCTGAGACCCGTTTCTGCTCAGATGCCCAAGGACTTGCTAGGACCTTTTTGGAAACCACGCGCTTCACCAGGACACCGGGCACCTGTCTCCGGAGCATGGGCCTCGCACACAGAGCCCTTCCAGAGGACAGTGCTGCACCTTGGCCTGGGAGGCAGAAAGCCCTTTCTGGGCTCGGGCAGCCCCAGTCCCTATACTGTCCTGGAGGCCCCAGGCCACCCCTGCTTCGGGAGATACCAGGGCCCCAGTGTGGCAGCTACCTTGTGCCCGAGCTGTTGCTGTTGCTGCCTCGGCTGGTCGGGGACGGGGCTGCGGTGGCGTCTGGAGAATCCCCAGGTCACCACGGGTTCCAGTCTGGAAAGGCAGAAAGGGCAGATAATGGGGAACCGGGCAGGGCTGAGGGGGGGGGTCCTGGGGGCAGTCAGTGGCAGTCACAGTGTGGGGTGGGGCTTTTTGTGTGGGGAAAAGAGGGATCAGATTGTTACTGTGTCTATGTAGAAAAGGAAGACATAAGAAACTCCATTTTGATCTGTACTAAGAAAAATTGTTCTGCTTTTAGATGCCATTAATCTGTAACTTTAACCCCAACCCTGTGCTCACAGAAACATGTGGCGTATTGAATCAAGGTTTAAGGGATTTAGGGCTGTGCAGGATGTGCCTTGTTAACAATATGTTTGCAGGCAGTGTGCCTACTAAAAGTCATCACCATTCTCCATTCTCAATTAACCAGGGACACAATGCTTTGTGGAAAGCCGCAGGGACCTCTGCCCAAGAAAGCCTAGGTATTGTCCAAGGTTTCCCCGCACTGAGACAGCCTGAGATGTGGCCTCTGGGAAAGGAAAGACCTTACATTCCCCCAGCCCAACACCTGTGAAGGGTCTGTGCTGAGGAGGAAGAGTGAGAGGGAGACTTCTTTGCAGCTGAGATAAAAGGAACGTTTCTGTCTCCTGCTCATCCCTGGGAATGGAATGTCTCGGTGTAAAGCCGACCATTCATTCTATTCTGATATAGGAGAAAATCGCCCAGTGGCTGGAAGCAAGATACACTGGCCGTAATACTGCTGTTACTCTTTGCTACACTGGGATGTTCGTGTAAAGCGAAACATAAATCTGGCCTACGTGCACATCCAGACACAGTACCTTTCCTTGAACTTATTCATGATACAGATTCCTTTGCTCACGTTTCCCTGCTGACCTTCTCCCCACCATCATGCTGTTGCCCTGCCACACTCCCCTCGCCAAGATAGTAAAAATAGTGACCCATAAATACTGAGGGAACTCGGAGACCAGCGCCAGTGTGGGTCCTCGCACGTTGAGTGCCCATCTCCTGGGCCCATTGTTCTTTCTCTATACTTTGTCTCTGTGTCTTATTTCTTTTCTCAGTCTCTCATCTCCACCTGATGAGAAATACCCACAGGTGTGGAGGGGCAGGCCTCCTTCACCTGGCACCCAATGTGGGGCACGAATCCACGACCCTGAGATTAAGAGTCGCATACTCTACTGAGCTAGCTGGGCAATTCTTTTTTAGATGACCAGTTTGGCCACAATTATAACATTTTCCCCTAAATGTTCTAACTTGTCCTCCTAAAGTGACTCCAGTCATTGCTTGAGCCATTAGCATAGCCTTATGCATGGCTCCTCCAGTCCTATTACAAGCCTTCACTTACTCTGTAATTACATCAACTCCTGCTGACCACTGGAATCTAATCTCTCATATAAAGGGAGTTGGGTCCATATTGTTTAACTCCTTCCTTCATGTCTTTTAACATTTTCATGGTGAAAGGTTCATATCTAGCATTAGCCACCGCAGGTGCTCCTGCTGGAGCCCCTTCCCCGGCCAGTACCGATTGTAAAACTACCAGGAACTGCCATGCCTCAAGACCTCCGTTTTCTAACTTCATCAAAGACCGCATGCAGTGTGCTACCGTGTCCACTAGGTGGTGCTGGTGGATTAAGTCTCATAGTGGGCGGCTGAGGATACAGCGCCGCGCCCCGTGGTGCTGATGGACAAACCACCACTGCCGTGGGTTGCTTGGATGATGCCGTGCTATTTGGCGTGGCACACACCGCTTGAGGTCTGTATTGAACCTCTGGAGGCGGCCAAAACTGAGGCTCGGCTGGCTGCCAGTATTCATAAGCTAGCCACGGTTGGGTTTTATTTTCTACTGGCTGATACTGTGGATACCGTGTCTGGATTGGCTTTGCTGAGACAGAGACTCTATCCTTTTCTACTTGATTTTCTCTTGGGGTTTGTACTTGTCTAACCTGCATTTGAGGTTGTAATGTTACAGGTATCTGAACCGCGGGAGGAAGAGTTGGCCATCGTGGTTTAGGCTCCGACGGCCCCAGTGATTCTGGAGCTTTCCCCCCAATTTTGATGATTCAGGATATATTACCTCCTGTAATTGATTGTAGTCAACATGGCTTTATAGCCAATTGACATTCCGGATTTGTATCTTCATAGGCCATTAATTCTACAATGGCCTTTCGGGCGTTATCATCTGTAGTAGATTTTTGAGCGGTATCTTGCAATCTTGCCAGGGTAGGGCTCTTTAGAGCCTTGTCTAATTGAATTAAAAGACGGGCAGGTGGTTCCTGGTTCCATGAATTTTTTCCCAGGCCCTGAGGCAAATCACCCTTACTTGTTTAAGTCAACATTTTGCGTTCACGAGCCATTACAGACTCTGCTGCATATTTACAATGTGAACTTTCCATTCCTTTCTCGAATTCTGTCCCTGCCTCTTCTTCACAATCTATTACACAGCTTTCAGGCGCATCAGAAGCTGGAATGCTGTCTTCTCCTGTTTGAACCAGTTCTAAAGCTGCTTTAATAATGGCCCAATCATTCCATACTGTAAGTGGGGTTATTTTACCTTTCCTATTTGCTTGTTTTAATCTTTGCCAATTTTTTCCCAATCTTTTAGATCTAAATTTGTTCTGGAAACCATGGGCAGAATTGTTCTCTTGTTTGAATGAGCATAATTAGATTTTCTGCAGAGGCTCTAACTGAACCCCTAAGTCACCATGGGTGCCTGGAGAGGCAGAACGGGCAGATAATGAGGAACCAGGCAGGGCTGGGGTGGGGGCCTGGGGGCAGTCAGTGGCAGTCATGGTGTGGGGTGGGCTCTTTGGGGCAACCGAGTGTGGGCAGATGGTGGGGTCTTTCCCACCTCAGCCTCGAATTGAGACTGCAGTCCCCTGACATTTTTAGCGTCCTCACCCCCACCTCACATGTTACAGTTCCAATTCCCACGGGTCTCCCACTTTGCTCCAAAGTTCCCTGGCCTGGGGCCCCACATTCCGCTCTGGAAGGCCTGGTCGGTTTCAGGGACAACATAGACGGGAGTGGCTCCTTAACTCCATTAAGGCTCCGTCCCCAGGAAATCACAGGTACCAGGAGGGCCAATCCCTCGGGCGAACACTTCCCACTTCTGTTTATAGGGCTTCCAAGACCCATGTGCTTCAACAGATCTGGAAAAATTTCCAATACAAGAAAAGGCCCTGGCCATCGGCTTGTGGAAGGTTGAAGACCCCTTCCCACTCTTGCCCTTTTAAGCTCTTGGGTGGTAGATCCTGACCCAGCACCACTCCGCCCATTAAAGTCCACAGGCCCCTTGGCAACCGGGCTTTGTCTCCACTTGCCTGACCAACAGTGTGGCAGGAGCGCAGGGTACACATTCCCACACTTCACGGGCCAGGGCCCTGAGTCTGCAGGGAAGGCAGCTGTAGGAGAGGTCACGTGCAGGGCACCACCACATTCGGGGAGACCACCTTGTACCCTCCAGCCCAGCAGTCTATTAACTGCCTGCAGACATGAAGGAACCGGGGGACCCCACAGAACCTGACCACCGGGGGACTCCTATTATTGTAAGCCAGTAAGATCATGCGTCGTATGCTACACAACAATAGCGGATACGCTTGGCAAGTAAGTGACTCTAGTGGGTTCCGACTTTTTACTTTTTTGAGACAGGGTCTCGCTCTGTTGCCCAGGCTAAGTGCAGTGGCACCATCTCAGCTCACTGCAACCTCCACCTCCTGGGTTTCAAGCTATTCTGCTGCCTCAGGCTCCCAAGTAGCTGTGATTACAGTTGCCTGCCAACATGCCTGGCTAACTTTTGTATTTTTTGGTAGATATGGGGTTTCACCATGTTGGCCACACTGGTCTCAAACTCATGACCTCAAGTGATCCACCTGCCTCAGCCTCCCAAAGTGCAGGAGTTACAGATGTGAGCCACTACACCCGGCCAATTCTGGCTTTTTGATAGATGGAAT